TAAAGTTAGGAGGAGAGAGAGAGAGAGAGAGAGAGGAGCGGGGGGGTTTACGCGTTGTTGGGGAAGGTGGGGGGCTTTAGAGAGGTAGTTTGCTTGGCGTGGTCAGTGAAAAGAATGGTATGGGGTTCGAATCTCAATTTGTTGGTTTTGTTTGCTTGAGGCAAAGAATAATAATCTCCGATTTTAGTAGGGACATTTAACAATCGATGTTTAAAAACCATATCAGTCATCTAAATCGCTTAACCAAAAAATCAGTCATCTAGATCTATTTATTTTCATTTATTATTATAATTTTTTTTCAATTAATTGGAGTCAGCAATACAAATCTGGATCTATCATTTTGCTTTATTAAATGTCATACCTTTGGTGAGACCATAAATCTCCATATCTTTTCGTGTTACTTCCAATCACATCTTTTTGAGTTTACCCCTTGTCCTCTTCGATTATTGTACTTGAAGTAACTCACAATTCCTAATCGGTGTTGTACTCGGTCGGCACCACATATGGCTAGCTCACCTAAATCTATTCTTTTATCATCTTATCACCTATTCGTGTTATACCTAAATTTTTCCAAATGAATTTATTTTGAATTTTATTCTTTCTTGTCTTGTCATTCATCCATCTCAACATCTTCATCTCTGCTATATTCCTTCTATGGGTATATCGTTTTTTGTCTTCCCAACATTCAACCCCATAGAGCAAAGCTGGTCTCACAACTATCCTATAACTTGTTCTTCAGCTTCATTGGCATACGGCGATCACATAAATTTCCAGTTACACTTCTCCGCTTCACCCACCCAAATCCAATTCTGTGTGTGACATCTTCCTCAATCTCTTTATTTTCATAGATTATCGATTGAAAATACCGAAAATCCTGGATCAGTGACCTAGATCCCCAATCAAAAATCAATCCAAATCAACAGATTAGAGGTATGGATAACAATCTAGGGCTGATTCAAGCTAAAAATAAACAATGTCCACAACAAAAAGCATTGCAAAAATTTGAAAATAAAAGGTAGCACTGGTTATGGCCGGTTTTCTGACGGAATCAGGTTATGTTAGAGAGTTGCCAAGAAGCAACTTGTTGCCAACTAGAACTGGCCAGTTCTCGATATTTCACAAGAACCAAATTGGTCGACCAGTTCCTGATCCAGCTCGATCGGTTGGTTCAGATATGAATAAAGATACTTCTATTTTGTTATCAGAAATGTGATATGTCCTCTTACTATGAATCCATTCTTATAAAGTAAAAAATAAAATATCGAAAAAAGGGATGGGAGAGTGATAGAATTTGATTTATCATTCTAATCCACACGAGTTTTACAAAGTGGAATTGTTTAGACCTTAGATCAAATGCAATATGAAGGTTCTACCCTCAAGAAGTTCAAGAAGAACTTGAGCTTAAGAAAAAGAAAAGAAAAGAGAGAGAGCATGGAGAGAATGCACATCTTGGACCATATAGATAAACATTGAGACAATTAAGGAAAAGTAACTAATGAAACCATTTATCTTTGGTACAAGACGATCACAATTAATTTTGACTATGGGTTTTAAAATTGGGTGGCTACATTTATTTCATTGTTCATGCTCAAAGCTCAAAAAAAAGTTTCTTGAACTTTGTAACAAACCTAAACTATCAGATGATTATAAATAATTGTGACCTCTTTATACCAAAGATAAATAATTTCATTAGATACAATCCTGGCAATTGAATGAGTCTTAAGCGCAACTAAATGGGGAGATACCTTGGAACATTGAAAAACTGAAAACTCATTAAATTGACCATAAAGTCAAGCCAAGGAAGATGCTTCGAACCTTCACATTTTGCCTTATCTACAAGTTATCTCTAGTAAAAGCCTGAAGATTTCATTATCTTACGGAAGCATATTATATATTTATTTTCTTAGATGAAACAATCTAGGAGTAATTATAGGACTGAATTTTAGGGATGCAATTAATCCATAGATTAATCTCTATTTTAAATTAAAAATTAAATTTCATCTTCTATGCAATTGAAAAAATAATATCTCAAGATTGAATTAACACCATTTAATTTTTAAAAAACGAGATCAAAGTATTAAAAAACTTAAAATTTAAATTTTATATTTTATATTTTAAAAATAAATTCTTACGTGTGGTTCAAAAACTTTTCTTATTAAAATGTCCTTCCAAATAGATCATCTACTTGACGGAGTAAGGTTATACATGGCCCCACGGGAGCACAATATATACTACTACTCTTTAGTAAATGCATTAATTCCTGGCCAAAAATGCTCCAAAAGGAGTCCACTTACTCCTCCTTGCAAAACCCATTGACCCTGTATTTTAGGGATTTGATATATTCCCACCATATGCTATAATCAATAAAAAAAAAAAAAATCCCATTTGCATTATCTATGGGGATTCTTTACTATTTACGTGTACAAGGTGGTCACAATTGCTTACAACCATTTGAAGTACAACTTGATAGCTTGAATGTGTCATAAAGTTCGAGAAATTTTCGTTTCAAGTTTGAGTTTGGTCAATAGAATAATTGTAGCCACCAAACTTTACATCTAATGGTAAAGATTATTGTGACCACCTAAAGGTAAATAAATGGCCTCATTCTATACTTTCCCTAAAAAAAATTATCAAGATTGAATAGAAATCCTCCAATTTTTTATAAAGGAGATCTAAGTGTGAAAAAAATTAAAATGCATATATTTTTCTTTTGAATATAATCACCTAGTAATTTCTAGGTGGTTTCAAAATTTTGAATCAATTTTTCTTTTGCGAAATTAGTTTTCTTTTGAGGGAGTAAAGGGAAAATCCGTTACTTTTTATTCCCAATGAAGTGACCATAATAAAGTGGTTTTTTCGGGATAATTGCGAACCATAATAAAGTGGTCTTTTCGGGATGATTGGGAATGGAAACTTAAACCGATAGCTAAAAGCTCAGGTGGTTCTACCACCCCGACCACGACCTCGACCCCATTTAGTATACAGTCACTTTAAAAGCACCTCAACCCAAAACTTTAAGAACTCAAATTTAGACAGTCTACAAAAATTAAAAGGCAACCGAGTCCCCTTAGCCTCAAACGATTATCATTTTTCTCTTTGTGAAGGTAGAAGAACTATACTCACAACTGGGTCAAAAACTATATTCGCAACAATCTTTTTCTTTCCTAAAAAATCGATTATTTTAGTTTTTTAATTTATTTTCAGGACCCAAGAGAGTGTGTGACGCAGTTGACCCAACACTACGTGGTTGGGAAGACGTGGCCAAATACCTCGCAAAATATTAGTAGTTTCATTTTTTAAAGACTCAAATGAGTTGGCTGCCTACGATTTCTTATTATTTTCTAGGACCCTGGCTGTGATAGAAAACTCAGATTCGGGTCTTGGACCGTTGGGCTTGATCCCGATTCGTCCGGTCTGAATTTGGCGATTCTCCAGTTGAATCAGGCTAGAGTTAAAAAAAAAAATAAAAACCTGAAAAAATGGGAAACATATAATGGAAGCCACACCTCCCGAACTAACTCGGGCAATTTTAAATCCAATTAGTAATTTTTAAAGGGTGTGATTTCTATAAGGTTGTAACTTTAAGCAATCCAATTAAGGTGCACCTCCAAATTTTATCATAACATGCAATTTTGATGTAAAAAATTATTAGGATTATCTAAAAATCTATTTTCATATCTGGTGATAAAATTTTAAATTCCAAAAATGGTTAAAATCAAGTAGATCTATAAACATACAGAAATCTTGAAAATGGACGGTCTAGATAATGTGTTGCAAAATACACTATTTCTAAGACTCTGAATTCTTTTCTTTTTTTACATATTCATACATCTCAATGTTGAACTGCTCTATTAGAGGATTTTTCAACATTGAAATAACATTCTCAAATGGATTGTTTAGGTGCATATGTAATTCTACATTTTAAGGTTGCAACTTTATATAATTATTTTTCATTTTTAAATCACCATTTCTTTTCTTTCATTTGAACGGTAAGAATTTTAAACCGTCTGGCCCTACCAAAATTGTCACCAAAAGAGCATGTTCCCCTTTTCTTCTTTTTTTTTTTTTTAAATAATCTAAAAAAAAGAGATTTAATTCTTCATTCGTTCTCCAATATCATTGCATAAAGAGCGTGTCTTAACAAAAATTTAAATCTCTCTCTCTTTCTCTCATTGAGGAGGAATGGAATGCTTTTAACTTGCCTTGTAAGCTTGGATGGGAAGAATGCTTTTCTTACCTTGTAAGGAACAGTGCATGTTACCATTCCAATACCTTGAGCGCGTTAAATTTGCCTTGTCTTTGCTTGCCTTAACTTGCTCCAATTTCTTAACAAGCACATACCCCCCCATATTCTGCTTATAATAACCGGTGATCAAAAGATCAGCCGATATTTCAAAAAACGGGCCAACTAAATCGGGATTGGTCATCGCCTGTTCCAGAATAAGCCCGATTCCAAAGGTTTTATATTCTAAAATTTTCATACAATGCCCTAATCA